GCAAACTGTTTTTCAGGCAAGTTAAGGAGAGCGCTAATGTAGTAGTGACGCTACAACCACTTTTTGCCACGTTTGCGCAAGAAGCAAAAAAGTTAAGCTCAGCAGGGATCCGATCCCATGACCTGTTGCAACGCGGTGGAAAAAGCTCCATAACTCCGTTCAGAGAATCGTTCTGCAAATTTCGAAGGCAGATTCGAGATCAGCGTCCAAAACCACGTCTAGTGAGCTACATCTCATTACAAATGGCCACTTCGACCTGACGACCTTCCCTAGTCAGATATGGGCAGAACGCCCTATTTGCCAAAATGTAAATCACTTTTGGAAAATTTCAAAGGCTCTCCGAACATGAAGTTCCTTAGCACTCAGCAGGTTTCCACATATTCTTGTCATCGTAGGACCATTATTCGTTGTATCTCTAAACTTGAAACGTGGAGAACGAGTTTCAACCTGCGTGACTAGGAATAAGATTTCAAGAGCCACTGCCGAACCGAATGTGGCAAACTTGATACCATTTTATTTACTTTTTCCCTGATCATCCCAGTGAGCTCGCTCTCTTTGTAATTATAGAATCGAGACGAGGAAGGAGAGGACACATGCCAAGAAAGTTTTCGAAAACATGAGGGTATGCGCGACCTCAGGATTCCCTCTTTTTTGCGCAAATCCGCGCTCATTTGTGCGCCCATTATTTGCAAAATTTTGTGCCTGTCTGCCGTGCCATATGGACTTTAATTGTGTGGCTCACCTGGCTTTGCATTGACAAATGAAATCCTAATTGGAGGAAGAAAAACTTCTCGGAAATCTCATCAATCACAGCATTTTCAATGAAAAACGTCTCTTTAGCCATCCTACCAGACAAAGCAGCCGGCCTTGACGCAATGGGGTGTTTATTCTCTAGGTGAAACGATACAGTCTTGCTAGCTGCTGATTTTGGGGCACGTCATAGGGGGGGAACAGGGCTGGGTTTGGCGCGCGCCAGCCCGTGTTCCACCGTATATGGCCGTTTCAATTACTGGTGAAGAACGAGCTGGTGCCACCGTTCAAACCCCCTCGTCCGCTCTTGACTGCACATCCCCTCAAGCGTGATTCCGTTGGCACGATGAATCTCAAGACGAGTAGGATCAATACATCTTGCAGGACGGAATTCCACGCCCCTGAACAGGCGCTGCGTAGCGCCTTTTCCAAGAATGGTATCCTTATAACGCCCTATTAAGCAGCAACATACCGACACGCCCGCCCACAAATGGACGACCGTGCCTGATGCTCGTATTGCTTCATTTGCATAGTACAACATGAGGCGCAAGCGATTGGATATTGAGCGGCTGCAGTGACTATGGATAATTATGAGCACGTACACTCGAGATCCCTGAGATCGGGTAGGCGTGGCCGCATGTTTCAACTTACCCTTAAGGCGTCTACGCTTCTGATGCGATATTTTCATCTCGACACAATCGTTGTCGTGTCTCTGTCCAACACAGAACAAGATGACAGTTGTCCCAGATGGAATATTCCACTAGTAAGCAGTTCCTTACAGTGTTCGAATGCTCCGCCTACCCGATCTCACGGATTTCGAGTATACGTGCGGCAGTATCTACCGTAGCGCGTATTGGCAAGATGCCTATGGGAAACTCGTCCAAAATTGCTTTTTGAATCGTTAAGGAACGGACTTTTCTCCGCAGGTTTTTGACCGTTTCACTTCGTTTTTCGCCATTTTCCCACTACATAGCACTCCTGCTAGCATTTTACACCGAGTACCAAATTATCGTGCCTTATGTCTTTAAGTCTGCCGCTCGACTGATTGCGACTAGTATCAAGGCGGAACCTGTTTTAGTTCAAGCCAGCTTGTGTATCTATCGCATGTATCTGAGCTTGAGTATAGTCCTAGTACAATAAACAAATGCCTCAGTAATTCTTATTGGCGCTCATATACGATTACAATTATTCACATTGACAACAAAGGATACGTTTTTCGGTTTTCGTAGAACCCTCTTGGGATGCGCCGCGTATCCCACTTCTTTTCAGATCTCCAGTGGTTTTTATGTGAAGCTTTTTCTTTGCAATGATTAACAGAGCCGACTGATGTGTCTCTAGCCTTCCCAATCTCCTGAATGAGTTTGGCGCCAATCAGATGACACTGGAGAGAAGGAGAGCTCTTGCGGATTGGGCGAGAACCGATTCAAAATTTGATCGCCTAGTCCGCCAGTGGTATGCCGCGCCGTTTGTCACTACTCCACCTGCACCCATGACTGCCCTTGTGAAGAGCTTCTGAAACAGCGCAGCGAATTAGTAGGAAACTGACATTGGCATAATCAAGCGAAGACAGCGCATGACAAAGCACACACCACTGTGGCTGGTAAGAGAGCAGGCTGCACAATGTGAGCATGTTTCGCGAGGCTATATTCTAACAAAACTTCCACAGAATAAAGGAAGTTATTGCTATACTTTTTCCTAGGAAGGAGAAGTGAGCTAGGCACAGCGCTGGGACCTGCTCCGCCCACATGACGAGCGTGGAATGTGCTTCTAACTCAATGAAAATTAAAAAATTTCTGGATTCTATTGGCTGTAATAACGGCAGGTCATGTAAGTGAGATAACATTATAGGGTCGAGCAAAAGATAAGTCCTGCCGTCAGTCGTATGCCAATAACGGTACAAACTCCTATACGCTTCCGTTGGGTAAATGTGGCATGCAACGATTGCGATCGGTGAGCTCTTTGCATTAATTCCAGTTTATCTGTAAGGAAACGAAAATGATGAATGTTCCAGGCGAATCCTAGGGGAGTGAACTTTGTCGTGACGGTACTGGTCTCATTTCATCCGGCTGGGTTCATCACAAAGAATGATAGGGCTTTCCATGTGAAGTGCTTTTACATGGAACCCGATTCGATTGTCAGCCAGTCTATTGACGTCAGGTATGTATATGAATTTTCTAAGGTTAGCAGGTCCCTGTAGCCTCCTTTGTACTCATCGGACACTCAGACTTTCGGAGTGGACAACGTTTTGCAAGGCCGTGGCGTCGCACATATGTACACTCCGTATCCCTGCGACGGAGTAGGCGTGGCTTTTGAACGTGGCGCAGGATGGGTCACTCGTGAAGTACTTCAGTTTGAGATGACTGTCATCTTATTCTGCGTTGGACAAAAACATGACCGCATTTTTATCTAAATAAAAACATCTTAAGAAAGCGCGATTACTGCCACGTTCAGTTGAAGTACGCAGCCACGCCGACCGCATCTCAGGGATTTCGAGTGTACCACCTAAGCTTTCTTCAAGGGGAAATCTGGGGCAAATGTGGCTGGGGTGCCAGCGCTCAGCGACTATGCAACGTCATGTTTGCTGGTCTACATTGTACTGCCTTCCATGCCTTCTCAAATACTTAGAACGGATGTATGCACCATTTTTCTGCTCGATGAGAAGGCAAGTACAAGGAGGCACGACCTGGTCTGCTTGCATGGCATCTCAGAGCTACATTTGGCCCGGGATCTGTTTCACACCTGTTCCAAACGACGCAAATACTAAAAAATATCGGGAGGCCTGCTGCCCGTTGCCTGAGCAAAACGTTACCAAATGCTCACGCTGTTCCTAACAGAATTTGAATGCGTAGCGCACTCTACGGCCATAAACGATAAGCATTTCATTATCCTAGCGCTTAGTTTAACTCGTAATCAAGAAGATCTTCCTCAAAAGCATTCCCAAACGAAATGACGATATTGAAAGGCTCGTAAACTTCCCTCATTTTCAGCAGCTTGCCAACAACTGAGTTGCAAGATTCGATGACAATGCCAAAATGCGAGTATTCAGTTCGACGTGACTCACCAAACGGACCTACACTCACATACGCTAATGTCGGAGAAACGGTACTTTTTATGAATAATCAACGTCATTTTACACGTAAGTCACACAAAATAGACGGTCACTGAATAAATAAGCGAATGTGGTTTCAAGCGGATGTAGAAAATTTTGGGCAAACTCTCTATCTTCTTTCCCAAATTCTTTCCAAAGTACAGTCTTGACATTTCTTTCAGTGTTTTTAGCCTTTGAAGTTTAATCCCTCGGAAGTCAGAACTTCTTCAACAAGCACTCTAGAAGCTTGTCGTATGGGCGGAGCCAGGCCTGACACTATATCTTCCTCATTGGGACACCCTCCTCTTTAACGTATTGGAAAAGAGGGGTGGCACGGACAGGTTCGAGAGTAATCGTTTCGTTCGCGAATCGTGCCATCTGCCTTTAAAGACATTAATTTCCAGAAAGCATGGTTACATGGGTATAGTCTTGTTCGCTCCGGGTGATGGGGCGTGGGGATGGGTTTGACGTGGTCTATTTCGTTGCTTTTTTTCTTTCAACAGATGACAGACAGTATGTTTACCTATCTCTCAAAAAAAACTATAAGCTGGCCGTAAGGACGGAGCCGGTACTACCACAATACGTTCCTCATTGGTGTACATCTCCTCCTTAGCGCCATAACCATTAGAAAAGAAGGGTGCACTAACACAAGGGTACTCGCTCCGTTCGCAAAGCGTGGTACGCGCTTTTGAAAATTTTACTTTTCCAAAAGCATATGTAAACCCTTGTTCGCTGTTGATAAGGAGCGCATCGAGGGGATGGGTTTGGCGCGGTGCCGGACCGCGTTTTTTTTTCTCTTGTCAGCAACAAGACCGTATCATATCGCTCGTATTAGTCGTTTTCCACCAGTTGTTGCTGCTCACCCGCCTCAACAGCTGGTAGGATACGGGCCGGCGGACCAACGAAGAGTTTTTTTTGAATACTTCTGACAATTTCGTTTACAGGTTTATCACGTATGGGAATGCAACCCACCGGATATGGGCATGCTTGTGAAGAAGTGCTTTGTTACTGATGGAGATGGTGAAGATCATGCAGTAATTGACTACGATGGGTAAGTTTACGAATTACTGGGAAGATCTTGAAAGTTTTACCGCCGTTCACGTTTGCGGTAGCTGCGCAAGAAGGAATACGGAATACTCTCTCGATGTGAAAGCTGTACGAACATATTTTACATTTGTGTTTGCCTCACGGTGTGCCTTGGAAACTTGCTCATCCATAATGTTTGTTGAACTCTATCATTTAGATCTCACGTCCCAGAGATGGGAAGGGTGTGGCTGCGTACTCCGTTTGGGTGTCGTCGGGTGCTCCTACATAAAAGGCGCAATTAATTTAAGATCCATGCTTTCTTCACAGATGTTTTTGATGGATTCCTGATCAAAATTAGATCTAGTGGTACTGCTAACAATGATGGAGCGAGAACAAACCCAGTAATGACTGCCAATCGATGTAATGGCGCACAATCGCAGCATCACCAGGGGTGCGGGCCAAGAAATTCGATTTGCTGGGACACGTAGAAGCTTTGGCACGCTGGCGAAACTTAGAAGCTTTGGCTTGAGCTACGTTACCTAACTGCTTTTACTTTCTTGACTGAGCCTATGTAGTCGCACGCGCGACGCCACCCGCAACCGTACCCTTGCTGCCACTTGGACCTCCTGACCCAAATCCACGGACGTGATTATCGAATCGAGTGAATACACTTCAACTTCACCCGATACATTTCTTTCAGTTAGTCTTTTCAGATGTTCAACTGATAGTTTCCTGATCAGCGAACTGATCTACGACCAGAACTTGATGAGGGCACATGCGACAAGTCAGGTAAGAACTGAATCGAAGAAAATGGCCACAATTTTAGTCGAATATTGACAAAGACCCGCATATTTTCTAAGAGTAGTCTGGAATGAAATCCATCATCTTGAAGGTATTCAAATACGCCGACTCAAATCAACTCTATTTCACCTGCCAAATACGATTATGTCAAAGACAAATGGGCATGTGTCAAGATGTTACGGTAAGCTGTCAGTTGACCTTGAATTCTGACCTCCAGTCTCATTCAAAGGCTCGTAGTTTGCATAGATTGGTGTTATGGTGTTGGGATGAAAGGGCGCCAGCTCAGTGTTAAAAGTTTCGCTGCGGGGGTCTGATGTCATTGGTAGCGTTGGCGAAGGCCGAGAAGTTGTGATACCGGGGAAATCATGGTGATCAGGGAGACTGGTTGTTTAGCACGACCCCACCTCCTCCTCTTCTCAGGGTACATAGATGTATGAAATGGTAGTGCTGGTACCACCCCCAACCCCTCCTAGAGAGCCTACGACGCCCTTCTCCAACACCGACCTACCGACCTACCAATTCCCCACATTTTCCAGCCCAGTTTTTCACCCAAAAATTTTTCGTCGAATGGGGGGAGGAGGGAGAAAGGGGGGCGGGGTATATAGTACACATGAAACAGGAAAAATCACGCGAAAAGTCAACAACCGGGAAAAATTTTTTCCCAACGCAGCAAATTTCTCTCAAAGCACATACGACCCCCCTCTCCCAACGACCAAATACGACCCCCTCCCCAGCGGAAAAATACGACCCCCTACATGCTTCACACAACGACGCTGTATCCTGCCTCTCCTATGCTGCAGTCTCAAAAGTCACCTCCTTCGACCAAGGATCTTCGATTCACCGATCCGGGAGCAACTACAACATACCACAGACTAGTTCGAATAAACCCAAACATCAGAGGAATGCAGTGATCCTACATGTCTTCTTTGAAGAGAAATTGTTCACTCACCTCCCAGAACAGTTCTTGCTATGTGCGAGGCGTACGAATGCCACCTGCAGTAGTGTGCCACTTCCTCTGGTGAAAGTGCACGGGGATTAGGCTCCAGGGTAGTGACATCCGGTACCATCTCCATACTCCACCCATGTTATCCTCAAGTTGCAGCACTTTCATCGACACCAAGGTCCCACAAACTAGCGCGCACTCAGCGGTAGGGAAAAACCGTTACCAATAGAGCGCAGGCAAGTAGCCCGTTTGGCCATGGTTGAGAGCGTCGCTGGCCATGCTGGTAGCGTGGACGGAGTACAAAGACAACACCCTTGTCATATTCCTATAGCCGCACGCCCGTGCACTTTTGACCGGCAAATGTGGCACGCTACTGCAAGTGCGAACCCATCCTATCCACACACTGCAAGGACTGGGATTCGTGGAGGTGAATGTTCAGTTTGTCTCCAAGACTCTAGACGTACGAGAATGGTTTAGCTACAAATGTGAACTTTAGCCCCCAATCTGTGGAATAAATCGTCCGAATCGAACACGTCGTGCGACGTCACGATGGCATGATCCGGAGATTGACGTCGCAACCCACGAGATGCTTGTACTTGATGCCGAGGAGCGGCACTTAATCTCCTCAAACCCAGTCTGTGTGCCGAAAATGACGCTTCCGCTGATACCACTTGTTCTTCTCACTGTCTCAGCAGGTTCGTTGTCCGAGGTTTTGGAAAATAAAAATAAAATGAGACTTCTTAGGAGAAACTCAGAATCACGAACGAAGCAGTTTAGATTTCGTTGGTGAGAAAGAGAAAGCGTGGAATACATTTGCAATTGCTATATTGAGGTGCGTGCACTCGTGGCACGGCGATCAAGCTGATGCCAAAAAAGCAGAAACACCTTTCCTACATATGAATGGGTACAGACTTCTGGGTGTAGAGCGATTCTTCCGTGTAGCCGGGTGCGGCGACGTACGCATCATCCATCAGGACCTGACTCACGCAATGTGGCAAAGCTGCGGCGCTTCAACTCTCTTGACTCTCTCTGCCATTGCTTCTTCCAAGACGAATAGCTCTAGGCCCATGTCTGTCTAGTCAGCTAGCTGGGAAGTTCTTTGATAGTGCGCGCGATGCCACGACCCGGAAGTAACGCACCCTTGTTCGCATACGGTGAAGTGTAGAAGAACGGCACCGAGATAAGGAGCAAAGATTATGAGTCCTGCACACCCTTTTATCTGAAAATGTGTCTTTAACCACTTCAGGCAACATTCGTTCGCATATGAAAAATATTTATTCTCTATAAATGAAAAGAATACTAATGCAATGTGTCGTTCAGTTTCGGTCTCTGTCACGATGGTGATAATGGGTCGAAAAAACGAGAAAGTTGCTATGATATGGACCGTGAATGATATCGGTCCCATCTCGCAAATACGATTTCTACGGTGGCCAATGTGCTTCGATTTGTGTGCTTCGATTGTGTTGAAATTCGTTATTGTTCATTAATACATTAATAAAGATATGCCAAGGTTGTGAAGCCTAATACTCCATCTAGATGACCCCAAGACTATTTGTTAAGTTTGTTTGTTTGTTTGTTTGGCTCTCGATCAGAGCGGAAAAAGACATTATTTATTCCACAAAAACAAAAACCCACAATTGAGCTAAGAGCAAACAACACGATAAAAAGAACCGGCTCCGAGCAGCTGCTGGGATCCCAGTTGACTATCGAGGTGTAGGGAATCCCATCGAGCGGGAATAGCAAGAGAAGACACAATAAATACAGAGAGTTCAGAATAAAACAAAAGAACTGTGCCGTAATGATTTTGCCTCCCTTTTCTATGGCGCGTTCCCGCGCGATCACAACTTCGACCTACGATTCTGCGATCAAACGTTTGCTTTACTGATTGTACGGTCAGCCTGTGTTACACGCCTAAAGACCTTTCGGGTTCAATTATATCAATATATGTACTACACGACAACTGAGAAATAGTGACGAGAAACACCCTGCTAATATTAGGAACTACCTTACCTGATTCTCGGGTTACCTAGAAATACTTAAAAACAAAACCCGCGTTTGCATGCTGTGGACAGTGGCGTACAATTACAAACCTATATGTAGTTGCTAAGTGACTCTACAGGGGAGAAAAAAAAGCAAAAAAATATGACACCTTAAAGAACCCTTGGCGGTCTTACTGCACGAGTTCTCCAGACTTGCTCTTTTATCCAGCAAAGCGCTGTCCTGTCCCCTCTAGCAGAACTGCCAGTTATGAGGGCCGCGGCGCCTTCGTTACTTTCTGTGGAGCTGCGAGAAAGGGATAATATTAGAGACTGAGGACGAGAGTACCTATTAAAGGAAAGACGAATTGTTGAGCGTGAAGACTGGACTTTGACCGCATGAGGGACAATAGTTTCGTTGCCGGTCTAACATGGTAGGAGAGGCCGATTGGAGACTTTGCCTGACTGGATCACGCCCAGCTGCAGAATCAAATATGAGAGTCAGACTCAGACGTTATGCATCCATTCCTTTGAATGCATCCTTCGAAAATGCCAGATTGCCGGAAATTTCGCATCTCCGAACCTTCGGAAGAGCGGGTGTGGTTCGTATGTATGTGTTCTGTTAAGCGCGTTCTTCGAAAACACCAAGGTTGTCGAATCTCAGCCATGACGGCCAGATGAGGGCGTCTTGACCTCCCCGCCAATTGTTGCGGACTCAGGATAGCATCACTGATGGAAAGGTTGCCCTGGCACTCCTTTGCAGGAATCGTGACTACAATGTGCGTCCCCTACTCCAGTGGAGATGGATCAAGGAATGTGCAGTCTTATTCGCTATACGTGACGCGGCTGTCAGGGCGTCGATCGCCAACGCGTGCGAGGCTCCGATTCCTCTCGTTTGCAGGAAGCGAGAAACCCCAAGCATCGTTCTCTCGGTGGCGTGTTGGAAGACGCGCACCGCATGTTCACGCGGCTTTCATAGAAACCAAGTCTCCGCGGGGTACTTTAATGCAGGAAGAACTGCGGAATCCAAGAGGTGTACACGGAGCCAAGTATTCTTTGTCTTGCTTGCTACTTCCCCGAATTTTTAAAAGATCCCTGAGCCGCTGCTTCCTACTGCTCAGCTCTGGTGCTAAGTCGTTCATCATAATGATTTCTCGACCCCGGTTCACATAGCAAGAACATTCAGAAGGTCGTTCCCTTAAGCGAGAATGGTGAATCAAAAATCAGCCCGTTCCTCATGAAAACCGTCTTTGTAGGATTGAGCTGTAAACCGATTTTTCCACAAAAGCAGTCGAAATCAGCCAGCTCCGCTTGCGTGACATCCTTGTCGTGACGTTGCTGCAGTGATTGCCAAGAATCCTGATGTATCAAGTACGAACATCCTAGGCTTCAATAACAGCTCCTGTCTCAAGGAGTCGAAATCTCTCTCCGAGTCGATGAACGTGAGTAACGGCATCTTACACTCTCGCGATGCTTCGGTGAGCTTCGTTACCATGTAAGTCTGATCTGAATCGGTGATTCTCTCGTGTACACGCTGTTACTCAAACAACTCTTCATTCAGTGGGGTTTTTGCGATCTATTTAGGATGACTCAACTAAGAGCTTCTAGACTGCAGACAGCGAGGCAGATGGGCGAATTGGCCAATGTCGGCAGATCCTCTATACTTGTTAACAGCATGCAGTCATCCTTAGGCGTTTCTGAGCTCGGTACCTTGTATCGACAAGCAGCGAGAGTCGAGCCAGAGTTATGACGAAAACTGGGTGGAAATTCCTCGAATATTCTTGTCCCTGATTAAGTGGCACCTGGTATCGCACGAACTCTTCAGCGACAAAATGGTGTGTCGCACTTAGAAATGAAGGGACGATGTCCAACAAGCTGCTGTCGATGCTGTCTATAATGGAATCCTCACAGAGCCCAGCGAGAGACGTGAAGTGATCCTGGTTGATGACATTCTCGGAACTCCATTTTGAAAGTTGCGGCTCTCTCTTTCGTCGAAAAAGGAACCTTGCGCGACGGCACGGTGGTTCGACTCCAGGTAAGAACTTAGCAAGCAGGCAGCACTCGTCCGTAGGCAAATACCTTCTTACTGAAAGATGATGTGATAGATCCATCATAGAATTGTCCATCAGGGAACACCCATGTCCTGCCTAGAAAAGAGGGCCTCTGAAACAAGCGGTGGTGTGGGTCGACATGATGAAATTAGACAGCTCATTCTACTCACCATCAGTCCACTGTGTTCCGAGTTCCGATGTGAATTCTTCAGCCCTACTTCTCGGTCCGATCTTAGCGTTGGAATCAACTGACGACCTTGGAGAAAGTATGGTCTTCCTTGTAGGACTTTTCCAGTTCCGCAAACGTCTTCGTCGGATTTCCGTACAAGCTGATGTCCACGGGCCAGATGCGTGCTGACGAGAACCCTCACACGCCAACGCCTCATGTTCGGAAGAACAGTTATTCTCCTGCTTCGTATACGGCGTGTAGCGGGCAATCTCACCTCCAGTCTGATGACGTCGAGCTGTCGTTATTCTAGTACGGACAGCTTGTTTTTCCGTTGGTCTCAAGATTCTTGCAGCCACTCCCGAGCGTCCCAACCAGTGCTGTCGGAGGTCCCTTCAGGTCTCAAGGAGAATGAGGCTAGTTCCTCTACTGTTTCGGTGTATGAACTGGCCATGCGTAGCTTGCCTCTGTTAGCTTACGCATTGGCTGCTTGAAATTATTGCAACCCCACCGCCACGTTGGGGCTGCAGATACGAATTGTGGAAACATTCCAAAGGTACAAACACATATCTGAAGCAACAAAGATTGTCTCATAACACAACCCAAGACTGTAAGCAGAAATCATTTATTTCATTTGTCATTTGTTTAAATTCGTTGCCAAAGAAAGGTAATCCCATTCGCGCGTCACGAGTGACTAGTTAGCTCTTGTGTGAAGTAGTTGAGCTACTCAGGTAAGGGGGGGGGGCATGGTGCAGAAGTCCGTGTGGCTACGGTAGTCACACTTTGCACAAGGAGTTCTTCAGAGCTGCGAGGTGTTGTGAGCATCGTTTCAACACAATTTTTCGGCTTTTTTAATGTTGCTCGCTACTATGGACTGAAAGGCGCGAAGAAACGACTGTGAACCAGACAGATGAGGAATTTCGACACAGCGCTGGGAAAAGGAGCTCCGGAATCGGTGAACTAATACAGTCCTCATCATTGCGGACTGTCGGGGCGGCTGAGCCGCGCTGCACTGTGACGCGACAGCGGCTTCGGTGACGGCGAATCAGCTGATTTCCATGGAATTCGGCTGCGAATTCCCACTTTCTCTTCAAGCTTCGAAAGTGGAAGGTGAGTTATTTCACAATTTCAAATTGTGGCTCTGAATGAATCTGAAAGAATGCAAGCCATTTGAATAAATGCCTGAAATAAGGCAAAATACAAGGAAAAGAGCATAATAATGGACATAAAAATAAAGGAAATTAAGCCAGTACAATCAAAATAGTTCAAAATGACTCACCGTATACTTTCGAAGCTTGAAGAGCTGAAAAAGTGGGAATTCGCAGCCGAATTCCATCGAAATCAGCTGATTCGCCGTCACCGAGCCGCAGCCGCTGTCGCGTCACAGTGCAGCGCGGCTCAGCCGCCCCGACAGTCCGTTGTACTTCCAGAATCTCACACTTTAAACTATGAGAATTTATTTTGACGCTGGTGACAAGAAGAGATAATTCTCGGAACTAAAGGTCTCTGTTCTCAATACTTTGGATGGTCCCCATCAAAATGTCCCACCTCATTAGCATGGCTTCAAAACTAATTAAACACGTTCCGGACCGTGTGACACACATGGTGTGTCATACTTTTTTCTCTCTGCGCCGTTTCATACGGTCCATTTGCATCTTATTCATGCTCCGAAGGTATCAGAACACGTTTTCAGGCAGAGAATACAAATTCTCATGTAAAAGTGAAAGAAACAGATGAAATTGCTGATTATCGTGACTTATGTAAAAAATTATGCGGAGATCCTCATACAACGGCTTTCCGGAATGTGTTAACCAAACAGAAGTAATGTGATAACTAGAGAGCACTCACTTCATTGCTCGTATAAACCTGGTCAAGGAAGGGATCGTTGCGGGACCAACATTGTCTTTCCCAGGGCAAGGAGTGGACGAGTTTCCCGCTGAAAGAGAACTTCGTTGCGGGAACCACTGGTCTGCTCCCCTGTTCTAGTTGACATTCGCGTGGAGGTAAGTACATTAATGTTTTACTATTGAATGGGTTTTTTTTGCAGTGGTTTCTATTCGCTGGAAACTCGTTCTGTAACTTGAAGGAGAATAAGTGCGGATGAAGGGAGGAGGGGGCTTTCGACTTGCTCTTTCCCAAACTTGAAATTTCCCACCTACCCTCGCCTTCTACCCCTCTACCTTGCTCAGCTACCTCTTCCTCATGTTAACCCCTGATTGATCTTTTTTGGATGAAAAAAGAAGCGTGCCGAAAACTCGTCCGGCGTAAGCTTATCGCTTGATTGGCGCCTCTGCTGTTTACCAGTGGACATTCTCGTTCCAAGTAGTGCCAGCCAATTGAATACAAGGGAAACAACTTTTCTTGTCCTTCACTAACAAGTGGTCCGGACACGAAAAGCTGCGCAAAACTCAATAAGGGGGACATTGTTCCTGTACCCTTACTAATTTTTTCAGCTTCCCTGCGTCATTTACCTGACGACAGGAAATATTTATACGCAGCGAAGTTCAAGATCACTATCGTATGGAATTATGAATAGTTATATTGCAGCTGTATAGCGGAAACTATCGTAGTCCATTTTTCGTGCCGGGAATCAGCGGTAACTGTGCAATTCTCTAATGTTGCTACTTCATGACGTCCCTTCGTCCATCGATCGATAACCATGGTTTGTATGAGCAATCAAGAGTACATTACGATCAGGGCTCGTCGTACGCTGGGAATACCAAGCGAGGGGATGGGGGTGGTTCGGGGTCTATCGTATTCTGCAGCTGGGAAGGATGGAGGAGGTCGTGTTAGGGTTAAATACGCCAATAATAGCCCCTAGTTGGTCGCGGCCATGTCTTATACTACTGCAAATTTCGATAAATGAATTCAGTAGTTGTTTGGCCGTGACCTCTCCTCTCTCCCCATCCCCACTGGAGGTGGGCGGCGAAACGTAGGGGAAGCGTCGGGAAAATTGTTAGATAATTGGGGAAAGTCAGTGAGATGGTCGGCAGGATGGGGAAGGGTTGATCGTCGCAAAGGAGAAAATTTATGGGTGGGATTATGATTTCCAGACATTTTCCTTTTTTTCCAGCGGTAGGACGCACCCTGATTACAGCTCCCATCGCATCATTAATTTTGAGAATCTTTTCATATATCATGAAAGGAAAAAATCATACGTAGCAAATTTAAAGGTCGCCATAGCATGAATACTTATTTTGCTAGCCGCATATTGGAAACTATCGTAGTCTATTTTTCGTGTCGGGGATCAGTGGCAGTTGTGCATCTTTAAAGGACGAATGATTGCTTAGTGTGGCGTGAGCACACAATGTACCATTGAACAAGCAGGGTGTTTCCTTAAACAGTAACTTTCCATAAAGAAAACCTCCCTTTATAGAGTCCCACACTCTCTTCTACGACGCTGAACTTCCCAAATCACTTTCCAAAAAGTATTCAACTCAGTCTGTTCCCCTGGAACCCCCCGCAGTCCTTCGTCGCCAAGTATTTCATGACGTCCCTTCGTCTAATGGGTAGACATCGATCGATAACCATGGTTTGTGTGAGCAAGGGGGAGGCCGATGGTGCCGCCCCCACATCTCGTCGCTAGGCGATCGATATTGCGGAAGTCGCTACGCGTCGCAAAATCGCCCCACCTTCCTATTGTGATATTTGTTTTGAATTATCACTAGAGCTTCATTTACTGAACGTCAGATTTTTTGACGTCCTTGGACGTATTTCGTGGCCGAAGGTGTCGCTTGTGTAATGTCACATCGAGCTCGAGTTTAAAAAATACTTCCACAATTTTCAGATGGAAACCGAGGTAATCATTTTGGATTCTGACGACGAGGATAGTCGACCAAGTGTTCCACTTGAATGGCTCTGCTTTGGCATCGGTTGCTATTGTAAACTCGAAACCTTTGGATCTGGATGCTCTAGGTGCGATGATTTTGCTACGGACTTTAATTTAATTTCAAATTCATCTTCTACTCGAGACCCCGTTCCCCACTCATTTTTAGCGCTCTTCAAAAAGGTGCTTTCCTCCATCCACACTTTCTTCTTACCTTTTCTTAAACCTTGTTAGTGACTGTCACAAGACTTTTTTATAGTTCTTCTGGTATTCCTCCGAGAAACATGGAATCGTCTCCTATTCCTTTCATCCGCGGGTTAAACAGCGTAGCAGTTTCTTCCCCAGATTGAAATCTCCTCTAGAATGTTCGATTCAAAAACTGAACTCCTGTTTTACCGAATTCGGAATTTATATAATAGACTGGTTCGTTTAATCCATGTGAATACATACCTAAAACACTTCGTTGGACTGATTGGGTGGGGGGGGGGCACCAGTCAGCATTGCTGATGTAGTGTAATGTAATGTGAATTACACAAATTGCTGGTTGATCATCTCTGAGTCAGTTTTTTACCGTTAGTTTTTTTTTGTAGCTCAACTTCAGAATGGTTTTAACGTTCCTATCATCATTTAAAGTTGTAATTAACTGTCTCATGATTATATGGGGTGGGGGCAGTTCAAGGAAATAGTTTCGTTTTTTAAATCTTGAACAACCTCCTGTAATCTTTCTATTTAGTTTTAATTTCCTCTGAAATCATCCCATTTTAGAAATATTGTTGCAGGTATTGGAACAACAAGGACCGATGACGGAGTGTTGAGCAACAATCAAAATATCCGTTTCTATGGGGTGCGGCAGATGGAAGAAAGACCTCAAAGCTACATATCACCGAATAGAATCAAGTCCAACACCAACGTCCCCTACATGCAAAGTGTACGAACCCTGAGTTTTTCATTTTTAGAACCCTTTTCTATAAGCCAAACCCATGTTTCAATAAAGGACAGCAGCGATCTATACGTTCCCCTGGCTTTGTCGGAATTCCATCCATTCAGCTCCAGAGTGTAGAAGGATCTGCAAATAGTTAATTTAAAGAGTTTGAAAGGCTGAAAAATCTAAAAAAAGCTTGTTAGAATTTTTATCGCAATATTTCGGTGCCTTCGTCGTGCCTCAAAGTTCCATTCTTAGTGTAGCATGGATGCTGCACAGAGTGTGTCATATCAACTCACATGGGCCTGTCTCTATCAGTGGAAAAACTTACTCTTTCCGTCGAAAATGGTGACCCGCGCGGTTACCGTTCCGGACGGAAAGAGATACCGGTTCAATAGATGCATACCCACCTGAGAAATTTGATTGTACTCTGTGTGGTATCTAACTACATTAAGAAAGTATTTGAGGCCTGACGAAGGTGCTAAGCATCGAAATATTGCAATAAATATTCCGAAGGGAGTTTAGGGTATTTTCGCCTTTTGAACCTTTTGGAATAAACCTACAGAGCTTCAGTTTTTTTAATATTCAGGCAATAGTTATATTTGATCAAGAGGTCTAATGTTTTCTTGTCTGTTGAAACTGCTTCTGAATTAATACTTTGCAGTGATTATACTTGTATGTATCAGTATATTCAGGTAACCCCAATATCTCCTCAACGACCGCCGGTAAAACTGCCATATGAAAGGAGCCGACCTCAACTCCAAACAAGAGATGATGGCATTAGTGCAGTATCTCTACTTGGAAGCGCTCCTGCAGTGGCTCGTCCCTTACAATCAAGGTTAGTAACCTCTACGCTGTAATTTCTGGTATATTGCAACCAGTGTAATGGGTAAATTGAATCGTTTCAAGTTTTGATTTGTTTTACTCCAGGCCATCAAGGAGTCAAAATCAATCTCCCTCTCCTCGCAATGTGGTAGGTTTAACTTACTTCATATGATGTGTAATGTTCTGGACAATTATACCGTCGGCTGTATCTAAAAAAAAAATTGATTATCGAATGTTCTCGAAAAACTCTC